CCACGGAGGATTCAGTTCTCTTGTATGACACACAACAACAAACCCCGCTTTGCATAGTGAGCAATTTACATTGCGCAACTTTTACAGATTTATCATGGTACGTTTATTCGAATCAATAACTTTGGTCCATGCTGATTATTTTAGGTCCACTGATGGAACTACATTATTGATGACATCCTCGGATGGTTTCTGTTCAACCTTAACTTTTGCCCCGGGTGAACTCGGACAAATTTATGATGAAGAAATACCCACTGCAAAACGTTCATACATTAGTGGTTCAGCAGTTTCATCAACTCAAAATACTCCCATGGCAACACCAACAGCTGGGATCGCACCTCCATCACCATTTCCAATTTCAAATAATCATCATCGGACATCTTCAAATCCTATGGTGGCGCCATCACCTCCACCAGCTCCTTTCACAACTTTCAGACCTTCTTCACCTACTCGGTCAAATTCTACATCTTCAGTTGCAACACAATCATCTCATGTAACATCAGCTATGGGGACAATTATCAGTAACCCAACTCCATTATCAAGTAGTGTTCCAGGTATTGCTGCAGCAAATACCACGTCAGGAGTTCCTATGACAACACCACCACAAACTCCAAGAAGTACTACAGGTTCGGTAGTGGGTGTGAAACGTCCTGGAGATGTAAGTGAGAGTGAGAAGGAAGATACAGGAGCTGGACCTGAAAAGAAAAAGAGAAGAATTGCTCCTAATCAAGTTTTGTCGACAAATCCTGCAATTGGTAAACAGTGATGTGCATGTTATTCAGAGAAATGTTCTTTTTTCGATTGATTCGAGACTTGATTTGGTCTTGTGGGATTTGATGTTTTACGGTGTTTAAAGGCTCAGGTGTGTGTGGTTTGGTGTTTAATGACCTAGGAAGGAGTTACAATGGAAGGAAAGGAAAGGAAAGGAAATATATGATGCCCTGGCACCTTGCACATGGGATGAATTAGGATGGAGTTTTTAGTGGGCATGAATGAATATAATGATATTTTATTTCTATTCCGACCTTTATGTACTATTTTTGTCATTCTTTGGCTGGAATGTGTTTGAGGGTTCATTTGATTTGATTTTATGAGAAAGATGAGAGAGACGTGAATGATTTGTAATGTTAGTGGAATGTTCACGGTAGTGGAATGTTAGTGGAATGAAGAATTTTTTGGATGAATTAAGAGAGGAGAGGGAGAGAGAGAGGTGAGTTGGGTAAGATAGATGATGGATAGAAGGGATAGTTGGGATAGAAAGGTTTAGTTGGGATTATTTGTTATTTTGTTAGGAAGTTATAAAGTTGGGAAGTTGGGATGGTTGAGGTTATTGTTATGGAGTTGGGATTATTGCTATGAAGTGAGAAGTTGAGAAGTGGGAAGTTATAAAGTTGGAAAGTTAGGAAGTTGGGAAGTTAGAAAGTGGGAAGTTGAATATTTATGAAATAGATTGATGGGTAGGTAGTGTAATGAGTTGAGAAGTGATGAGTAGTATTAATATCTTCCTTGTTCTTTCTTTCTTCTTTCTACTTTTTATCTTCTACAGGAAGTAGCGAGATGCGGTGAGTGAGAAGTGAGTAAGTAGTGTATCTATTCGTTCAGTCTGTCCATCCGGAGAATACGCATCGTTTTTTAGGCGAGGAAAAGTAACTGGTAGGTAAATAGTTAGGGAGGAGGTAGAGAAGAAGGTAGAGAGAGAGGTACCGAATCCTCCTGCCTTTTTGGGAATGCATCGATGTAGACTAATTCCAGGGATTTTAGGAGCTGCTTTCTTTTCTTCTTCTTGATTTCCTCTTTTCACTTCTTCTTCTTCTTCCTTTATCATTCAATCTGAAAAACGATATTGCATTCTATCACGATTCAAATTTCACGATAGGGAAAGGAGTCGATTTTGTAAATTTTGTTTTCTTTGGCTTGTCATTTTTCACTTCTCACTTGAGTGCTGAGATTGAGGGATTGATTACTTTACTTGCTGGTTTATTTGCTGGTTTGTTGCTTGCTGGAGACTTTACTTTGGAATTTGTTGGGTTGGTGTTTGTTTACTTCTCGTTATATCTACTTCTTGCCTACCTACCTGCCTGCCTGTCTATGTTTCCTGGCTTCTCGAGTCTCAGATAAAGGAACAAACGAACAACCAAGCACACAGTTACCATCCTGCCATACTAACACCAACAACCATGCACCCCCTCTCCACCATCATCTCTCTCCTCCTCCTCTCTCCCCATCCCCATCCCCTCACACTCGCATCTCCTACACCCCTCCCCCCAGCTCTCCCTCTCTCATCTCCCTCCTCAACGCCCTCGTAAACATCACCATCACCGCCTCAACACTCAATTCCGCTCCTCCTGCTCTCCTCACAACAACTACACATTCTGCAGAATGCGCAGATGTGAACCAGGGAGCTCTAGTATGCTGTCCGAGTATTCTGGATGGTGATCAGCCGCTTGTGGTCGCGGCAGCTAGGGCGTTTGGGTTTGTGTTGAATGGGAATAGTGTTAATGGGATTGGGTGTGAGTTTATTGATTTTGGGGGGATTGTGTGTGAGTGCGTGTGCTAATTTTGGGGATCGATAGGTAGGAATTTAGATGATAGTGTGGATTGTCCGATGTGGGAACATAGACTGTGTTGTCAAGTTACTGATCTGGTATGTTTTTTTTGTCTGAGTCTTCCCCCACTGTTAACTCTGCTGCTGGATTGATGATTTGTTTTGTGGGTTTTTTGAAATCAGAGGGTTGGTTGGGATATCAGATGAGATGAGAATACTGATGATTGTATCTTATAGATGGTATTACCACTTGTTAGTTTGGCAATGTGGTGTCATGGTGCTGGGAAACTCTGATTTGGTAACACATCTTGGTGTGGGAATTGGGATCGATGAATGATACAATTGATGTGGATGAAGCGCAGTCAATGGATGAATTGTGATGGATTATGATGAGATGAGATGAGACGGAAAGGGAGAGGAGAATTTTGATGAACAATTGCTTGAGCAAATGATTTGCAGGTGGGCATAATGCTAAGGATTTTGCTACTTTTGCTTCGAATACACAGACATGAACATCTTATGGGGCGTATAATTTGGAAGACCATCGAAATCATTGCTGAAGATTTGCTACGATCTTTTTATGATGGGTTATCAAATAACGGAGACTTTCATTGTGTTAGTTCAACTAAGAACTCAGTTCTCTTGATGGTTTAACCTTAGCTCATTGGCTTCACCTCAACTCTTACGTCTATTGCCTCCACCAGTGGGTGTACGGATTAACGGGACAAAATTGGCTTAACAATATCTTTCGAAGCTTCGACTCGATATTTGTTGAAGAATTGTTAGATTGATTCAACACAGGCTGAACAATAAATAGATCAATCAGGGAATCAAAGATTGAATTTGTTAAAAATTCTGAAAGTTGAGAAGTACCCCCGTCAATCCATACACCTACAGATTACACATGCTATCCTCACCACAAAGAGATATATCAAAAATCAAACGGAGAAAGCAGAGAAGGAGACTGAAAGGGAGCTAAAAAAGAATGGAGGGTGTCCAGGCAGAAGAAATCAGAAAGCAAGCCATACAAAGGAAATTATATTGCTGAACCACAGCGATTATGTGGCAGATAGATGCATGACATACAAGCAGTCTGCGCAATAGGATAGAAAGTATTCAGCAAAGTACTGATCGGAGATTAAGGCGGAAGCAAGATCATTGTTGCAAAAACCACCATCAACACCAATGCTGAACCATCTCGCAAGGGTCGCCTTAGATCTAAGGTACCGGTGGCCGATATATACCCTGTGGGATATATCAGCATATTCCGAGAGAAACAAGCTTTGTCATATGGGATATAGCGATAATGATGATTGGGCAAGGAAATTGGATGAAACTCGCCCAACGAACGCAGATTGACTACGAGAATGCAATGTTTTATTTGCTATCAGAAGATTATAAAGACTGGGGACCACCACTAAAATCTACAATCAAACTTCTCCGAATTGAAGATCGAAAGAACACTCTCTACACAGTACTCACTGGAGGTTTGAAATAAGAGACTAGAAATTGAAATTGGAAGACTTGTCCAGCAAACGCAGATTGACTATGAAAATGTAGATACATTATTATCAGATGAGTATAAAGACTGGGCAGGCGTTGCCTTTGAAATCTGCAATTAACAGTTCCATGAAAAACACTTCTTTCAAGTGAAATTGGAAGAAAGAAATTGAAATGGTATTTACTGGAGGTTTCGAAATAAGAGACTATAAATTGAATAGATACCAAAGTCGATGTTATTAGGAAGCGAGGAAGGAGAATACTATTGGAAGGGGTTTGAAAAGGGTTTGAAAAGAAAGAAAAAGGCAGAAGATTGGAGACACTTGAGATTTTAAAGGAGGGAAAGAGGCGAGTTGGAAGAGAATTGCGAGCTTCTGAAGATTTATCGGAAAGAATGAATTGGGGAGGTAGTACTAGTACTAGTACTAGTACTTGCTACAATATCAAGACTCGGCTCTTGAAATGGATGAGACATCTTGGGAATTAGATGGGATGAGATGGGATCATGGGAGTTTCTTAAGTGATCTTGATTCTATTTTGATGTGAAGATTGTGAAGTAGGATATGGAGATTGGGTGGTAGAGGGGTATCTAGAATAATATGTTTTTGTGGAATAATATCTATTGCTTCTCATGTGTTGGATTTCTTTTTCAATTCAGGGGTGTGTGCTTTGTGAATACATAATTGGTTCATTGCTTTGTTGAAACTCCTGTGGATTCTGTGTTGAATGTAAACTTATTTCTATTCCTCTTCTTTCATATTATAATTATATATCTTCTTCTTTCCAAGTACACGAACTCTTCATTTGATGAATAGAAAGAAGTTCGCCCTAGAAGTTCCGATTCTGTACCTATTCCCAGTATTTTCTTTTCTTTCTTTAATCTAGAAAAAAGGTATACGTTTATACGCACGAATATACAAACAACACCCGAGCTTACGTAGTAAGTACCAAGCAACCCCTAAGCCCCCTCAACCACCCACTCAAAATCCTCTACAATCTTCTCACTCAGCTCCTTGGATATCTGCCGCGTCATCGCAAGATGCATGCCGTATTCGCGCTGGGCTAGGAGGATTTTGCCCTGTGTTCCTTGGTGGGTGGATGTGCTGAGGGTTTTGTAGAGGCCGAGGGCGGGGTAGGAGACGAGTCCGAAGACGCCTGGGAGGAGGGGGAGTGGGGGTTAGCGAGTTTTGGTTTGGGGAGGTGAGAGGTTTCTGGATGCGAGACTGGGGATACGGATAAAATGAAATCAAATGAAATGAATGGGTGGATCATGTAAACTGAACTCGACTTACCACTAGCAGGTTTGGTGAGAAATCCCACCGTTCCTTTTCCAAGTCCCTTCAGGAATCCCTTTCCGCCTTCCTGTATGGCGCCTTGGATGGGTTGTGTAAAGAATCCTGTGAAGCCGTCTGCGATTCCGTAGCCGAAATTCTTTATTATTTTTATACACGGTTAGCTTGCTTTCCTCTTCATGAATCTGCATATTCCACATCTCGTAACCCATCTCATATTCGGTCTCAAAAAGGGAAAAGAGGGAAAGAGGAAAACAAACCTTAGCTCCCTTAATACTTCCACTCTTCCAATCCCTCACCTGTTCATACTCCCTCGGCTTATCCCCATACAGCGCAGGCAACGCATGAAAGCCATCCGCAACTGCGAGGGGTAAATCGATCGCCGTTTTACTCATCGCGATGCCTACCTTTCCGAACCCTTTTCCGACCGCGATGGAGCTCGCTTGTAGAGCGCTGCGCGATGAGGCGGTGTCAGTGTCAGTGTCGATGCCTTTGGCCGGTTTTCGTTTTGCTTTTTGCGGGGTGGTCGGGTTAGAGCGCGCGTGTATTCGGTGCGATAGTCAAGTCCGATGTTGGTTATGGCGCGGGTGATGTCGAGGGCACTGTCGAAGGCGGCGGAGGTTGTGGCAGTCCAGGGGTCCCAGCGGCGGTTGGTGATGGTTATGGGGTGGGGTTTGTGTCTTTGTCGTGGGACATTGAGTAAGTATGAAAATTGGATGGATGAATAAACGAATTGATAGATGAATGCATATCTAGAGGAGGTGAACTTACAAGGAAAGATCAGAGGCGTTTATTTTTTTTCTTCTCGACGAGAATGGCGGCTGCTTGGTGAGATAAGTTGAGATGTTTTTTTTACCCTTTTTCCAATACCATGTTGCGGGTTGTTGAGTTAAAAGCGCACAACTGAGGGTTTTGACGGGGAGATTACGATGGAACGAATTAACGGCTTCTTTTACGCCATTTTCGTGTTGGATTCTTGAGGCGAGGGTTTGTGCTGCGGTTACCACATCGGGGGAGAGGAGAAATTTGATGGCATCGGAGAGAGTGGTGATGTTAAGAGATTTGTGTTCGATAGGTGCAGGACCGGCACCGGCTGCTGCTACCATGTTTCCCCAGAATGGTTGGCTGTTGAAAGTTAGTTGAGGAATTTTATGCAGGAGAATTCTCGACGCACTCGCCAAAAAAGGTACGATTGCTGTAGGACGACCATTGAGTAATCTACATGCTGTTGTTCCTGCTCTACTATGGTGGATGACAGCCGCAACTTGTTTAAATAGCCATTCTATTAATATTAGTTAATGCTAAGATCATTATGTTGATGTATCTCTTACCATGAGGACAATCATCAATAAATAACACATTCTCATTCTCAACCTCCTGTCCAAGTTTACTCCAACCTTTCGATACAATTGCTCTGACACCACAATTTTTAACTGCAGCCATGATCGTCGCGGTCATAGCTTTAGGATCTTCCATTACGATGCTTCCAAATCCTATATAAATGGGTTTCGAGCCTGCTTCCAGAAATCCTAAAATCCTCGCATCGGGATCATATGATGGGGGCGGACGAAAGAAAAATCCACAAACATCTAAAAGCTTCATCAATACTAGAGTTTGGAAGAAACCGAATCTACGAACCTATATGTGGGAGCCAATCTTGTGGTTTCGGTACAAGTGCTGGCGACCAACAGTATGTAAATGGGATATCGAGAGAAGCTGCTAAATGAGGGCCAGCCATCACAGGGACCGGTTCAAGATCAAGGGACTTCTTTCTCCAGTGATTGATTACGTCTCCAAGTCTATAATCAAATGATTAAAAATTGAGAGCTCAAGAATATAAATTGGAAACATACCCTTGCCAAGTCATCGTGTCAACCAATCCATAAGAAAGAAAATTGGCTGTTTTAGGATCCGTTTCAGTAGATTGGATATTTGCAAGTGGATGAGGGAATGATCTCGTAGCCGTCCAAGGCATAGTAAACATAAGATGAACTGGAATACCCAATGCCTGAGCACAATGTGTGTGGGCAAAACTAGGTGGATTGGCAATAATTGCTCCTGCGATAAATGGTTCTCCAGTCTTAGAATCGGGTTCGATACAGGATCGCCAACATCCTTCGAGCATAGCGGATATCATTTTTCTTTTCTTTGATATCTCTCCACTAGCTAAAGTACTTATTTTTGGAAAGATTCCGGGGTTTTTGACCATGTACTAGAAGGGATGGTCATAAGTATGTATGTTGGGGGATGCGAATCAAGTACACTTACTGCCATTAATTCCGTTGGATCGCCACCAATTGCATGGAATTCTATTCCGGCATCTCGTACAAATTTTTCAAATACATCGTGAGTAGCAATACGCACCCTATGACCTGCGACTTGAAGTTCATTGCCCAAGGCGATGAAAGGTTGAACATCACCTGAAAAAGCTGATCAGTGATGAAGTACAATTGATTTTTCTCGATATTGAGAAAGTAGGAATGTATATACCTCGACTTCCAACTACCTGAATGACTATGTTAAGTCTTGGATACGATTTCACGGGCTCTGATTTTACTTGCGGTATATTCTCGGGTGTATAGATTGGAGGTAATGGTGAGGTATTACCCAAAAATGCCATACTAATCCGTCCATTGTCTGGTGGTGTCAGTAAAATTCCTTGATTAGACTGTCAATAGAGTTCATCACCTTGGACTGAAGTAGAGACAGCAGACTCTTCATTGCCGAACGCGAACAATTCTTCGTAGGGAGGAGGAGCATCCCAATTGATACTTTCACTCCCCTTTGGCTGTTGTTCAGGAATGCCCATGATATCTGGGAATCAAGATAGAGAATGGCGACAAACTTGCACGTACAAGCATGATATGGTATTAAGAAAAAGGATGAAATGGAAGGAAAACGTTATGAGATGGGGAATGAATGTTTGTAAAGCCTTTCACTGATCTAGGCAAACTACACTTGACTAGACTGTGGCTATCGAAAGAGTACCTACCTAAGTATATAGAGGCAGTGCATCAATGCCGTATTGAGCGTATTTGGTCCCAGCAAAGGGATGCCAATGCATCTCTGACCCTTTTCTTCATGTTCATGCTGTGTTAGTATGTGTGCTGTGTATTTAACGTTCTAGATTGGACCACTGGCGCATGTTAGGGTGAAACTGGTTTGAGCTTTTTCTATACGCGTATTTCGTACTCGCAGTGAAATGTCGGACATCGGACTCGGACTCGGACTCGGACTCGGACTCGGACTCGGACTAGGCCTAGTAGGTAGTCCATGCGCATCCTCCACGTGATTGAAAGATCCAACAGAAATACCTACCAGCCTACCTACTTCAAAGTCATGTGCCAATCACAACTTCTTTCATTGCCTGAGCCCTCTGCTAATAATCTGAGACGAACAAACATTCTCACATGATCCTGATACGGAAGGAATAGAGAGATGTCGTATAATGGGATATCCCATTATATAGCTAAACCCAAGGTCTAGAACATGTGTTAGACTCCTGCAGGACAGTTTCCGGAAGACATGGTCAACCACCATAGCTCTTACCAACTTCAGCCCTACAGGTATAGATATCTTCCGGGCTTTGTGAATCACACACCCACAAATGACGGTGAGTATTTCAGATGCCGCAATCAGGGTCTGATGCATATGGATATTCAAGACCATTGAAGAAGGCGGCATCGGACATTAGCTGTCCAGTTGATTCTCGGTAAGATCTTACCTTGAGCATCAGAGAATGCTGATGCCAATTCCACTGAGAACATGAAATCACAAAGTATTTCACCAAGCAACACCGTTTTACACTGTACCTTATATAGAATGCTCCTCCTCCTACTATCAACCTCTCCTCGAATTCTGTTGCCCTTCATCTCGCATCTCGTATCTCGTATCTCGTATCTCGTATCTCGCATCACGCCCGAAATGGTATCTTCCGGGAAATAAAAAGTGGATTCTTCATCTCTTCTTCGCATTTTTTCTTTCAATACGGTCCCTTTAGGAAAGCTCCTTAACTTTACTCGAAGCACGTTCCAAGTTTCAATCTCGTCCTATTATTCCGCGTATTTATCGTGTTTCCATTATGCTGATTCGTCTATCCTACTTCAGCCCTCTCCATCTGCATAGATTATCTACCAATGATTTCGCGTATTCAATGCTGGCTGGACTTTTGATCCTTAACTCAGCCTAGGTGTTCCCAGTGGAGCTCTATTTTGGGATTCAACGGCCATGTTCATGGATCTTCTCAAGGGTCTCTACCGGTATCAATTTAAGTAAGTATGATTGTGGTATGGAGAACATTGTTTGCATGCGCCTCAATGGACAGCGCGAATACGATTTACGATGGCCGCAATATGCAATAACCCTTCCAATTGCTGTAGCAATAGTCGTTGAAAAGATCTAGTGCTGCTTTTGAGCGTTTAACATTTGAGTACATATTATGATTATACTCCCACTACAAACACCAATCTCTATCTTCTTCAACACTATCTTTATCTGCAAATACATTCATTACTTTTTTTGCCTTTTCAATTGCAATCTTACGATCTTACGATTCTGAGCGAGTGTTTGTTCTGTCGTTTACCTTCTCATTTCTATTCGTGATACACTCATTAGTACTTTACTTATTCCGTCTCATCGATCAATCAACTTCGTTGAATCTTCAAAATGGTGTACGTACTTTACGCCTATCAACCTGGCACAACCATTGCACTGGTTGCCGCTGCATTATTTGGAGCGAGTGCCATATATCATCTCATAACTATGTTCCGAAAGAAAACCTACTTTTACACAGCCATGGTAGTCGGAGGTTTCAGTAAGTACCCAATCAAACTTCTGCTACTTCTTACTGGACGGATTCTAACCAATGAACCCAGTGATGACTGCCGGTTATGTCTTTCGATATCTGTCGGCAAAAGATACTTCTTCCATAATGCTCTACTCTGGTCAATCGCTCCTCATTATCCTTCCACCTTCTCTCTACGCAGCAACCATTTACATGATATACGGCCGGATCGTCTTATTCGTCAATGCACCATCTGCATCCGTGATCTCTCCCAAAAACGTCACTAAAGTGTTCGTTGGTGGAGATGTCGCATCTTTTCTTATGCAATCTGGCGGGGGTGGTATGATGGCAACGGCCAGCATGAGTTCAACTGGCGAAAAATTGATGGTTGGCGGCCTTCTCGTACAACTTCTTTTCTTCAGTATCTTCCTCGTCATCGCCATTACTTTCGAACGTCGCATGCGCTCACATCCAAGATTTTTCGATATCCCAGCTAATGGAAAAAAACATTGGCATAAATTGCTCATGCTTTTATTCGCAGCCGCGGTCTTGATCATTGTCAGATGTGTATACAGAGTCATTGAGTTCTCACAAGGATCGACAGGGACACTGATGAGTCACGAGTATTATATGTATATCATGGATACAGCACAGATGTTGATTGTGCAGTGTATGTTTCACTTTGTACATGCAGGAGATGTTTTTCAAGATGGGGTGGATCCAAAGAAAGTTGCGTTGATGGGTGATAACTATATTGGATTGAGCGAGGTATAGGGAAGGAAAGGGTTATATGAAAATTTAGGATGGATAAAGGATTTCATTTGTTAGTCAGGTCGAATTAGGGGTTGGAATATCTCTTCTTCGTGGGCAGGTATAACCCAAGGATGGGGGGGAGGGCGCTCTCGAGTTTCTTTTGTCGGATATAGTACTGAAAAAAACGATCAGCTTAGCTCATCTTTGGTGGAGTTATTGGCGATTCAAGCATTGTACATGAGCAGTATAGGGATAACCTATGGAACATAGGAGGATAAGAACACATTAATTATTTTTATCAACGTTATACCATACCTACTTCCTATTTAAGCGCAATATTTGTCCACGATTGAGAAAACTACTTACTCACGATCTCGATTTCGTCAATCACTATGCAAGTGCAGAACAGGCTGTCTATCACGTGTATGCCATCGCTTAGTTTCCGTGTCAGGCTATTTATCCTTCCATTTTCCCATCTATTCTTCCGGCAAGTGTCGTGTCAAGATTCCCTAGCTCATCGATCTATAATATAATCACCTCCCGCTAAGATTTTGACATATACCCCCATCACGCTTTGTTCAGACAATCAACCAATTACTGGTCAACTAGGCGATTTCCTCTACGGTCAGCGTAGTAACATTGTATATTAAGACGGGATTATTGTCGTCTCAGCCGAATCTTTGTTCACATGGCAGGAAATAAATGAGATTATATTAGTGTGATTAATTTTTTACCCTAGATTATGTGCGTAGCATGGAGGTGTTTCGTCGGTTCTCGACTATAGTATGTTTTCATTCGTACGGTCAAGAAATCTAGAGTTGGCGATGCTCTTCACATCGCAGAAAGCTGTTTGATATCTACCTTTATATGGCTGGAAACTTGCAGCGCCAAGAAATACCTTGAGAATTTGCGGGCAGCAATTTGGCATAGATGGTGGCGGCTAGGTTTATCCGGGGTTTTCGGGCAGTGATGAAGCTCATATACAGAACCACGTGGCTGAGAATTATCTTCTATTACATATATATCAAGTATCTACCTTTCTCATTCTGCAGAAAGTTGTTTTCAGAATCAGTCTACACACGGCAAACTTTCAATAAATAGATTCAATCATGAAGTTACAACTTATCATACCCTTTTCATTTCTTCTATCGTGTGTTTCTGCACACACAATATTCATGAAATTGCAATCAGGTGGCACACTTTACAGTTCGTCTCTTATTTTCTCTTTGGCAAATACCTCACTCACAGCAAATAGATACCAGCTATGCCATCCGAACCCCAACATACGACGGAGTAAGTCTTCATCCCACACCAGACAACCACTCCTAACATCTCCAGCCCATAAACGACGTAACAACTGAATACGTCGCCTGCAATGGTGGACCAAATCCTACCACTCCCTCCTCAAATATCATAAATGTCGTTGCCGGTAGCACTGTAAACGCCATCTGGCGCCACACTCTCGATAGCACTCCTGCAAACGACGCAACATATGTTCTCGACCCATCTCATCTCGGTCCCGTCATGGCCTACATGAAAAAAGTAGACGACGCAACCACCGACGTTGGCTACGGACCCGGCTGGTTCAAAATCTCCGAGCAAGGACTCAACGTAGCCACACAAAAATGGGCAACAACAGATCTCATAAACAATGCAGGCGTACAGCCTATCACAATACCAAGCTGCATAGCCAACGGACAATATCTCCTACGAGCAGAATTGATCGCGCTTCACTCAGCAGGAGGCAGTCTCGGTGCACAATTATACATGGAATGCGCACAAATCAACGTATCAGGCGGCACCGGAACCGCAACTCCAAGCACCGTGTCCTTTCCCGGCGCATACGGACAGAGCGATCCCGGAATCCTGATTAACATCTATCAAACGCTCACCACGTATACGATTCCGGGCCCTACGCCATTTGTCTGTGGTGCTGCGCAGAGCACTGCGAAGAGTTCGTCGACTTCTGCTGCTGCTTCGACTGCGAAACCTACGTCGTCGTCGACGCTGAGTACGAGCACGATTACCAAGACGAGTAGTGGTGCGACGGCGACGGGGACCAGGACCGCGGCGGCTTATGCCCAGTGTGGGGGGCAGGGGTGGACGGGTGCGACGGCTTGTACGAGTGGGAGTAAGTGTGTTGTTAGTAGTGTTTATTATAGTAAGTTTTTCTTTTCTATGTATTGTGGGGAGCGGAGAGCTGGGTTAGGGAAGAGATAATTAATGTTTTTTAGGTCAATGTTTGCCGTCGTGATGGAGAATGGGGAGAGATGTCGGTTGGATGTAGTTGTGATGGAGATGTTGGTTTGTTGTGGGATGGTAGGGAGGAGATAGATTTGGTACCTTATGAGAAGAATAGCAATCGAACCAATCACTTGCACTATACTTGTCGTTTCGATTGAGACTCTACTCTCCTTGTATCTGAAATACAATGATTACGACTTTGACCCATAACCCAATCACCCAACCACCTCAATCTTTCGATCCATTTCATACCCTCCATCACAAAACCCATCACCCATACCCCTTCATTCCACACAAACCCGCACCCCAGCTTGCAAATACCATCCCCACCCTCCGGCAAAAATACTCCGCATTCCGGTACTTCTTCATCATGTGTACACCCCATACTCTTGGCACTCTTGGCATTCCTACTAAATGCTCTCTAATCTGGAGTATCGGGCTGAGAGTCCGTAAGGATGTTTACTAGTTCGTCCATATTCAGTTTCTTTCAGTCGCGTGTTTGTACTGGTTTTATATTCATACATTGATTGTATCATTGCTCGTATGATTTAGAGGATTGTTTGTGAGGGTGGATTTGGTTTCGTACTTGGTTTTATTAGGATGTTGTGGTAGATGCTTCTGTTTTGTTCCTTCCTATTACTCGGCTGAGTGGTAGCGTTTGCTCACATTGTCCTATTGAGCATTCGATCAAAGTGGGCTATATGAATTGGGAGAGGAAAAGAGAAGACACGGGATAGAAAAATGAACTTGTAGAACGAACATGGAAAAGTTGAGGAGAAAGAGCTCACAGAGAGTAACTATCTCGACTTGGTCAATGTAGCAAGGGAGTCTGGCCATCCTAGATTGTTGTTTTTCTACTTATCAATTTTTGTTGCCACTAATCTTCTTATTCTTCTCTTTTCCTTTCTACATGCAATAACCTCTTCAACCCAGAGAAAAGATTGCTTTGTATGTAAACGCACCACCAATATCATGCCATCCACTCACTAGACTCTCCCTATCCCGGTCGTCATTTACCTCCTCCAACTTCCTCCCCTCCTCTAAACCCCATCCGCGGAGTAGAAGCGACCATTACGCATTCAACCGAATTAGAAAAGTGGGGTAAAGTCTCGACAGCAGAGATTAATAAATCTCATTGTTTTGAACTGAGAAGAACATCACCTATTTCAGACGAGATGCAATATAAGATTTCAATGATTTCTCAAATGTCGTATGTGTAAAGCTCGAAGTATATAAAATGAGACGTATATTCTCTTCTTCCAGAATAAGTGCTGGCCAACATGAGCATCTAAAAATATGTATAGTATAGTATGTACAAGAAATAAGTTTTTCTCCTCCCTTCCTATATTTTTCTTTTTAATACTTTCTTTATGCTCCACTTGTTCCATACAATGAAATCGTCTAAACTATGTGCACATTTAGACTTCACACTCATCATCTCCTTCATCAGCCGAAGTTGGAGCAGCAACAGCAGCACTGGAAACAGAGGTTTCAATACCAGCAACCGAGCTAGCAGCTATACTGGTTGATGTTGCTACAGAGGCAGAAGCGATAGTAGATCCCTCAATAACTGGTGCTGCAGGAGTAGCTACATGGTGAGACTTTGTGCTTGACTTTGCTGATGTAGATACAGCCGCAATGGAGGAGGTGCTGGTTGATGCTTGTGCAGATGAAGCGGAGGTAGTAATAGCAACGACTGATGAGCTATTTGATGGAACGATTGCCGCTGAAGTAGAAGCGATTTGGCTTGCACTTGAAGATGCTGAAGAAACAGCTGCTAATTTAACTGCTGCAGAGGTGGCTGTACCGAGATCGATTTGGAGACCAAGGGTTGCGTTCATGATTGCGTTTCCGTAAAAGAATTCGGTACTTTCTTTTTGTCAGTATGATATCATTCATCTCTAATTCGGATCCAATAAAATGCTGTGGGAGAGGTATCTGAGAAAGAATAAAAGGGGAAACCTCACCCAGCATTTCCAACGTTAACATAAGTACTCTCAGTAAAGAGACCTTGTCCTACAAGCGCAACCAACCACTCTCTCAAATCACCCTCAAAGGTTCCCTCAAACTGTGTTTTTGGCAACATACTGCTAACCGTAATACCCGTATCTTCATTAACACCCTGATACAAATCCCAGCTTGTACCAAATAAATTGTCAATGGTAGCTACGCTTCCATCAGCCCATCCAATAGGTAATTGACCACCTTGATATTGGAGCCAGAGCATGAGTTCCTGGGAGGAGCTCGATGTAGAGTCACCTTTAACATCGTTGGTCATGAAATCGTAGCAGACGTTTCCTTTGAAGGCGGTTGTGTTGGAGCGTGTCCAGGTGTAGGTTGTAGGAATGGAAGCGATGCCTGTGAGAGGGGTTTCCAAATTCTGGGTCAGGCCGACGAAAGAATACCCTTTAGGAACATTGTTTCTAGATTCTCATGTCAACATGAAACACACGATTAGAAACATCGTTTCAACTCCATACGTGCTCTCAACATAAGTGATATCCGTCTCACTGTTCCACTTCACCTCAGCAGTCCCATCACTCCCTGTAATCATACTATCATAATATGTACACTGACTTCCCACGATCTGATTTGCATTGTACAACATGTTATACACAATCCATGGCGAATTGTTTAAAATGAGATAATCATAATCGCCGCAAAGATCGGTTGATGCTTGAGTGGCTCGGGTACTGAAATGAGGGCGAGCCAGAACGCTGGCGGCAGATGTGAGAGCTACCAGAGCTGCGGTATTACGAATTTGTGCAATCATTTTGTAATTTTATGTTGAATTTAATGGCCTAAATGGACAGGGAAGACATCGAAGAATGGAAATAAATGAGCGTGGATGGTAAGTGAGTGGATTTGAACTTTCAAAGTTCGATCAAAAGAATGTCAGGAAAAAGAACTTCCAGAATGAGTGAGCAAAACGAATGAACGACAGATTAAAGAATTCCGAGATCTTTAAAGCGATCAAGAAAATGGTAAAGAAGCTCTTGTCCACTCACTCAAGGAGCCAAGTACCGTTCAAATCTCCTTGTACTATACTTCCTTGTAGTTATCCCTACTTCGAATCACCAGCAATCCCTCACGGCCAAGATCCCTCCATGCAAGCCTTACCCACCGGCGAGATCTTCAGAATGGCCTGCCCACACGAACAATTTAAAGACCAGACCATTCGATAAGATCAAATTATATATCTAAAGCATCGCTTATCCCACCTTTGATCTTGTTCTCGAATGATGAAGTGCGGCTTTCTTATGGTTAAGAGATTGAACAATTCTATGTATATCAGCATCGTATAACTATATGAAACACACTAGACGAGTTTAAATAAATGAAAGTATCATGATCACGTGAATACTCGAAATCTCCCGCCGACTCCACTTTGCTCCGCCTTGAATTATTCCATATTGATGTTTAATTGGCGATCAGAAGATCCCGCCCATTGTTCCACTCTTACTCTGCCGACTCGCGGCGGATGAAAAATCCGAACATCAACTCCGTAAAAGTGAGGGAAATTCTAGAAATGAATGTATTTGAGAACCAATCATGAAATCATCAAAAATTATTTTGAATTCTATGTGGAACTATACTAACATACAAAAGAGACTGTAGAACGAATACGCCAGACTAAGCACGTGCGTGCTTCTAACAATCTTGACGGTCATTTCACAACTCTAATTCAATCACACCCCTAATTATATAATCTAATTCCTCTCTATACGCGTCCTTCTTCTCCTATATAAAAAAAAACATTTCTCATAACCAGCCACCCAAGAAGCAATCTGTATTCTCATCTATTTTTCGTTCTCATACGAATCTACACTCTTTCATATCCTCTTCTAATTATCATCTAATCCAGGGCAATTCTCGGATGTTATCTCGGTAAGACCGGTATATGGTTTTGGATCTGTCCATATGGTATCGTATCTACATGAAATTAGTTATGATTGCCGTGACAAAAATAATGTCTCATCCCTCCCTCAACCAAATCATCTGACTCAGAAAAAAAAAGCAAAAAGAGAAACTCACGCATGTTTCTTCCATTTGGGCGCATTCTCATCACCCAAAGCCTTAACAATGTCGGTCAGCGCACCGTGTTGCCAGCTAATCAATATGTTTCCTTCCCCTTCATATTGATTCACGACATTGGCTACACAATCTGCGTCATCTCTGTCGCATGAAATATCAACTGTGATATTTAGATCTGTGGCTAGGGGTTGCACTGTATCGAGTGGACGCGTGCGTTCTCCATCTGATGTGCACGTGTTAATTTTCTGAGAATTTCGAGATGAGAGATCGGATTGCGAGGAAATAATTGTGAGAAAGAGAGTTATACAGATGTAATCCCCATCGATGTAAAATGCTACCGAGAGTATCTCAAAGAAAGCAATGGAAAGGGAAAACATACCACTTTTAGGCGTCATAGCCATTATATACTTGATGTCATAATTACTTTCATTACCAAAGACATTGCGAAGACATTGTGCTCTTTGGAGACCGAGGGCACTGAGGCCGTTGCTGCCATCTGAAGGCTTCTCTCCATGACGAATTAGGTAGACTGTCTGGGAAGAGACTGAGAGGGGAAGGGCGAGGAGGGTCAGAAAAGAGGTGATGAAAACTTGAGGGCGATGCATTGTTTACTAAATTGGAGGCTGAATTTTTGGCGAAGGAATTCTTAGAATATCAGGTATGGGATGTAGAAAGGAGGAGAAATGGGCATTGGTAAATATATATACCCTTTTTCTATTCTTGCCTGTCAATCAGATGCACATCAGAGGCATATGACACTCTCTTAATAAAGTTTAGTATATTGATGTACTTGTGGAACTTACATCTGAGGTAATGAACTAAACTTCGCGTGTCGCTGTCAAGTGATGATCGCCAAGCAATGAGGTTACACAAAGGTGAAACATATGTCAACAAAAACACGAAAACACGAAAACATCAGGAAGCTTGAATCGAAAGATTGAATGATCAACATCTAAACAAAATGACGTTTTAGTTTCTATTAGATAAGAAGATTGATACTTGAATAAGCCAAAAGCAAATGGTACCTAGTATCACCTAGAAATCACAGGATATATCTGCCGTAGACACGGTGGTACCATGTGAGTGTAGAACTCCAATGATCCTCATCCATTCGCAGAATTATACATACAATAATACACATTCTTACTCTCCGCAAATCCTCCATTGTTCCCTCTTCAAACGGGAAATAATGCGCCTTTCCACTTCCCCCAAAAACTCAATGTGAAAACCATCACCTGCGTTCCTCCATCGAATGCAGCACTAAGCAAATATTTCCACTTGACATAATCACTGGGGCTATAGTTGCGCAGAAAATACTGTGCGAAAGACCCAAGAGCGGAATAGGAAGTGATGGACGAATTCACGCCGACAAAAAGCCAACCCAAATACTAGAGAATGATAGAAAGGTTTATGGAATCAAGAAATTCAATTCAAGTTCTCTCGTAGAGGATACAGAAGGGAATTGAAACTATGAATTCGAGAAGGAAACGATTGTTACCCATTGGTAGCGAGCCCCTATAGAGAACATGTCGCCAGCGATGGACCATGCTATGGCTGGGGTACTGTATTGATGGCCGTTGTGTCTAGACCAAATATTAGATCCTTCAACAGAAATGAATATGTGGAGTTGATTTGTGACAATAGTTTTTATGATGATCTAGTCGAAGATTGCACCGATGGCCGCGCCAGGCATTTGGGCTGTGAAGGTTCAAAATGTGAATGCTGATATCAAACAATTAGAGAATGAATTTTTTTTAAGAAAACTATCGAAAATTGACAAGTATCCTGTCAATCCACACACCCACTAGTGATCCTAACCAAGGAAATGCAGATTTAACACCATAATAAGTAGCCAGCCCCATATCAAAACTGAATACTAGAATATTGGTATACCGCCAACTATGTATTTCTTCGTAACCATTTACCAATACATAATGTGGATCCACGTCAGAATTTGAAATAACTTCTCTCTTGTTTTTCCAGAATAACCGGAAAGACGGTTGAAAGACTTTCTCAAGGTTGCTACACGAGAGGAAATACCTTCCTGCTTTGAAAGTATCATATTTCCGAAGAAACATATGTACTATTGTTGCAATCTATCCCATATTGGTTGTGATCAAGTATGCGATATATGTTCCAGCCAGATACGGGATGCCGTCAAATCAGCTTGAATGGTCTCATTATTTGCTTCAGCATTAACGTCAGACTATACTGAGCATAAACCGTTGCGTTGGAACTATTGTAGAAGAGTTACTGTGCAAGGAAAGGAAAAATTTGTCATTCCCACCCGCAACCATAATACAAAGTCGTGAACAGAACAACGCAAAGAAGATATCCGATCAACCATCGGTAAAGATATATGAAGAAACCTAGAGTGGTGACCGCAAGATAGCAATACATTGCAAATCGAGGCTGAGGAATAAGAATCCAAGAACTTCGTTTTCCTGTGAGCCACCAAATAGGTTTGTGAAGAAAAGACCATTCTGCTTGAAAAGCTTGCGCCACCAACATGAATAGTCAAATGATTGAAAAATAATCACAAATAATGGCCAATGACATTGAGGAAATGGAAGTGGACCAGGATATCTATAGAAAATGATGGATAGATCACCCTCTGCTCCAAGATAGTACTAAAATTGCCCATTAACAAATATCCCAACATTACAAGAGATTTTCCGATATAGCTAACTAGCTAAGTCGTTGGGAATAATTTTTCACGAGCCTTGTGAAACACATGGTCTGGCATAACATATAGTGATAACAGTCCAATCTATATCGTATCTGGGCGAGGGAACCATGCTGATGACATTTTCGGATTGATATAATCACATCAAGAGCAATGTTCCTGTCTTGTACGATGTAACCTATATCGCACCAGGGATGAAGCGCAGCCGCCAATCTACCTCGCTGATCTTTCCTCTGCATATTCTCTAGACTTCATACCGATGAGTATGGAAATCGATGACAAAGCCATGATATAAGTTGTAGAACGCAGAGCAGGATAGATGTTTGCGCATGCCAGACCGGAAATGTACTGTATCCACAGGTCTGCCCACTGGGTAACCATATTTGCTATTCCTCCGGGACAGAGGATATGAATGACTGGTAAAATCGTTAGAATACATGCTGCCCATGGAAAGACTGCATTACCCATACATAAACAGTGGAACAACCGACTGACTATCGGATGTGAAAGTATTAGGGATGCATAGATAATAGGAGAGTGGCGATCGAATAGTGAGAGCTTGGAGATCAATGAATAGCAAATATTCTGTAGGCATATGAAAAAGCCAGCCTGCCGTTCCACATAGCTAGGATTGTAGAATCTTGATCAATGTAGACAAAGTGCATTATTTTTACATCAAGCAAATGAGCCTATATTGGCAGAATAGATGCGAAGATGTGCGGAAATTCTGGTTAATACGTCTTGTTGAAGAGATGTCGTTAGGCCCTTCCGGGTTAGGCTTGGCAAGGCTGAAGAAAAATAAGCTTTGGCCTGTGGCACCATATCCCACTCTGCAAACAACCCACAAACCTGCAACTTTGAACTCTTTCTTTCCATTCAACAATGTACACCTGAATCTTAGATTCCGCACTTTCAATGATCATGTTGAGCCGGAGAGTAAATGGAGAGTTCTTCACTTGTCCACCAAAAGATATTTTGGGCGACTAGATGAGATTCCCCTATCTGATGTTCAGCGACCGCGAGCCTGGAAGGTAATCCTCAGTGTCCAGTTCGCCATTTCCACTTCGACGTCAAACACGAGAGCTCCAAATATTCAATTAACGGGTGGGTATCCTACACACGGCACATTTGCAATTCAAGGAAGTGGTACCTGCTGAAGGCCGTTCTAAATGATAGCCCACGTTTCACGACTACACGGCCAACACTCAATACGATATGGATGAGCCATAATCAAGTCGACCATTATCCTACCTAATTCCACGGATTCGCATCACTATTCATAGTTCAGATGAATTCTATGACGATTTATATTGGGGGCTGTTGTCTAGACTCGGGATTTTTCAGAGACATTCCAACGCCACCATTCAGAACTTATCTCTCTATACACCCGTCTTCAAGGGAATCATTTTAGCACTGCTTCATCCAACTTCGTCTTCTTATCTTTGCCAAAGGTAATTGATGTCTCCTGCCGGCGTGTGTAATAGTAGTTTTCAGAGTACAACTTTCCGATTTCTTCCCAACATTGGATGCTACATACTCTCCTTAAGGATGTCGCGTGGGACGAGATACTCGAGAGATAAAACCAACAAGGGGGCTCCCATGGACAAGTCAAGAATCCTATGTAGTCTGGAAACCTATGCGTTAATCCATATACAGTAGAGAAGTTCTTTCCTTTATCTCCCCAGTGCTCGTTCCCGAAAGGTTGTTTCCAGCGACTGATCCACAACCGATCCTCTCATGCTGTTCTTACTGCTAGTAGGACCTTTTATTTATTTACATTTGCGAGGAAATGGAAAGGCAATGTAATTGTGGAGATGTGGTAACTGGCCGAGCTGACTCAATTACGTTAAGTAGCTTTCACGGAGCTGATTTTTGAGTGTATCATTTATTCTCAGAAGTATAACATCAGATGAGCGACCAGGCCAATAAAGTATTTTCCCGCATTCCGAGGAGTCCTGTGGTTCGGCTCTAATGGTACCAACTGCCGCTGACCTTAAAATCGCTAGTTCTGCGCCTAGTCGGTACCTGAACTTTCTGTTGGCCGAGAATCCGTAGTCTTACTTCACCGGCATTCATCAGATTGGGGATTGACTGAAGCGCAGGTTAGATGCTTCCGATCAATGATCTTGTTACTGCCCATACACTATTCACCCTGTCTGACTTTGCACCTACCTGCAGCTTTTTGTTCACGTCGTCTTTCACATTAAGATTGAAATAGTTAAGTACTAATGGAATCTAGATCCTTGAATTATTGGACCCTGATTTCAGTTATGGCGTGTCATATATTGAAGCTGCGCTTGTTCCTAGGTATTTTAATATATCAATTTGTGAGGGATACAATACCCGCCATTCATGAACCTCTGTTAATGTTGTCGCTGCACGCCTCGTTAAATGCTGGCAAGTCAACGTGGTATCTCTATTTACATCATCGCATTCATTTATGGGCCTAAATTAGTGACGCATGTTTCTTCACGGAGAATCATTCTATAAGTTTCCTTGAGTTCAGGGGCAATACTTTAAAGTGGTGTCAACAGCCGCACTCAGCCGCATTAGCTGCTAATAGGTAGCTTTGACCAAGGCTGGGCACCCGTGATTATTTGAATCGTTGCCAATCAACCTTGGGTAAATAGCCGATCTTGTGGGCTGAATAATTTCACTTCCCGTTCACGATCTACTAATAAGCTTTGGTAGTTCCTGAAGATCCTCCAAACTGCGATTTATCAACAGGGTCCATCTGCGTACCATATCAAACTTACCAAATCCAAATCACACTTTCACTATCATGGAACAAGGTCCGGATATGTGATTGAGTGGATTGTGAAAGTGGATAGAGTATTGGATATTTCTCCTGATTCTTCCGTCTTGAACGAGGAAACAAGAGATAACCTTAATTCAAATGTTAATATTAACCTTAATTGAAAACAGTTTAGTATGTTTTGAATTCGATGAGTTGATGCAGGAAATTGAGATTTCCGAGAATCGAGATTTTCTTGGGTATGGTATCAATTTCAGAGACAGGAGATCTCTAAGGTCCATTGAAATCATGTAAGTGACTTATAGATGGTTGTTGTTGACAATGGCAAAACCCTATAAGTATGTGTTCTATTCCTGCCCATCATCGATCATCTCATCTTCTCTACATTCATTACATTCATTACATTCCTTTACCAATATCCTACGTTCATTAAAATCTAAACAAAACACTTCAATCACAAACCTTCAAACTCAAAATGCAATTCACAATAACCACACTCATCGCCATTCTCAGCGCCATCGCAGCTGCATCTCCTATCGAACCCCGTCAAAATGGAACGGCGCAACAAGAACGCCTCTGCACTTCCGCTATTGACACTGCCATGTGCTGTCAAACCTCTCTTGCCGGTGTTATAAACCAGACCTGCTCAACTCGTACGTTTTATTTTAACATTAACCCTGAACATGACTTCTGTATACAAGCGCTGACTGAATTGAAAGCTGCCATTACTCCTTTCACCAAAGAACAATTCCGAGCATACTGTGCCGCTCAAGGACAAGACTCTTCATGTTGCAAAACTCCTCTCGTAGGCGATGGAGTTATCTGTACCCCTCCTTAGATGGGAGGTTGATTGTGATGGAGGTCTGAATATGTGGACATTTGGACGGGCGTTGGAGTTGATGCGAAAAATTTGGTTGAAGGGTACGGATTGGTGTACTGTATGATTATTGAGGACGGACGCGTATTTTCTCTGATTTTTGATGCCATTTGAAGGATGAAGAGAATCTTATATTGTAATTTATCTTTGGACTATTTTGTCACTTGTTGTATAGACGAACTGTTTCATACATATTTCCTGACAGAAAAACGATTTTGGATGGAAATCCAGTGATTCTGCTTCTTGTTCTCTGGATTTTAATGAAGTAATATCTTGGACCAAATGTCTATAAAACTCGAGGAAACGTAAAGAGACTTCAATCGAGATCTAAATACATCGATCTCGTATCAACATGTTTTCTGTTGTTGTAAAAATGGAGGAAATTGAGTTGCGTAAATGTCGATGGAAAGTTACAGATGAATCATGATTGATTACGGCATGCAGTGGATGAGTGGGAGGCAATGAAAAGATATAATGATACAATGCATACATACAATCTCATTCCTTTACCTTGATAATTTGCAGGAAATATTCTAGAATATTATTACATCAATATGATTGCTATGTCAGTCCGAGTCATTAACGATTATGAAGTTTCTAACAAGAAGTAAGAACAAGACTTCGAATGAGACACAATAATTTTTCACGCCGCCAAGAAAAGCGAACTACCCGGACGTTTGAAGAACGATGGAACTCCTGATTGTCGAGAAAGATTGCGGCTGAGTAGGGGTAAAACGTAAAACATCGCTAAATTCCTAGGTTTGAGACAAGAATTGATATTCACAATCTAAGCTCACTATATAACATTGGTAGTACCGTAGAAGAAATCAGAGTTGGTAGACATTAATAAGGATGTTTCCCACAACCCCTACTAAGCTAGCATGATACAAATGATTATAAGTTCAGCAGAAATAAACATGATTTATGGTCCATAGACTTGGGAGTGTTGTTATAACATTATGAGCAGGTAAGGAGCACTAAGCTAGTAAGCTAGCATAGACTATCACGTCTTATCAAAATTGATATCAGAGAAACCAATAAAACCAAAGTCAATTTTGACTTTGAGGGACCTTGCACCAAAAGGTTATTGTGATGTTATTGTGATGAGCTGAGAATAAATCAAATAATCATCTAGCGAATTCCGGGGAGGCTCTGAGCTAGGGAGGCTTTTACAGGCTTCTAATGCTTGGAAAGCGTAGATGAACAGCATGTACAACGTATCCTCATCATTTTAGACTCAAGGAGAAAAAAATAGTTGTGGGGAAGGGAGGACAGCTCCAAGAAGTCCGCTCATCATCGCTTAGTGGCTTATTTGAATAAAAAGATGAGAGGTTTGAAGTTTGTGTGGATATTGTCTCACTGCTGCATCTTGCGAAAATTCGAAAAGAATACAGAAGGTAATGAGATAGGTCGAGCAGTATGTGTCTCCTTCCGCGAAAGGGGAAATAAGTCAAATCATACAAAGGAAGAAGTGACAACTAGGAATATGAAAAAGAAATCCGCAGAACATATCGCAGGACTTCATCATAGGATCCCAAGTGATTCTATAATGTTATTGATTGCTAGCGAATTCGCGGGCGAACAAGTGTTTTTATTGTAAAATAATGATTAATTATTGGAGTTGTAAAGGAGCGTATTATCTATAAAAACCGTATCCAGCAGTATTCTAATTTCTGAGCTCAACAGAAATCATCCAAATTGTGTTGACTTATACTATAGTCGTTTGATACCGTCTCTTGTCCTCCACATTGAATCTAACGAATCTAACCAGAACCATGCCCTGCTGGAAGAAGAGCAAGAAGGCTAGCGGCGCTCTCAGCTCTCTTGACCTCCTCTTCGGATGGCTCTCGTTTGTCGGAGCCATGACCAGCAGGAAGCAATGCGAGAAGAGAAGCTGCGTTATCTCTCTTATCAGCGCCATGTCCTGCTGGAAGGAGAGCAAGGAGGCCGGCGGCAGTATCGGCTCTCTTGTCAGCGCCATGGCCTGCTGGAAGGAGAGCTAAAAGACTAGCGGCGTTCTCAGCCCTTTTAACCTCCTCTTCAGATGGTTCACGCTTTTCATGGCCAGCTGGAAGGAGAGCAAGGAGGCCGGCGGCAGTATCGGCTCTCTTGTCAGCGCCATGGCCTGCTGGAAGGAGAGCTAAAAGACTAGCGGCGTTCTCAGCCCTTTTAACCTCCTCTTCAGATGGTTCACGCTTTTCATGGCCAGCTGGAAGGAGAGCGAGAAGGCCTGCTGCACTATCAGCCCTCTTGTCGGCGCCATGGCCAGCTGGAAGGAGAGCAAGAAGACCAGCTGCACTATCTGCTCTTTTGGATTCCTCTTCTGGCTCACGTTTCGAGGAACCATGGCCTGCCGGGAGTAGTGCAAGTAGTGAGGCGGCATCGTTTGCTCGCGCTTCTACATCTCTTTCGACTGCAGAGGCAGCGAGGGAAGCAAATTCAGCTTGGCCACGCGCTGTTAGCTGGTCGAATTCTGCACCAGCGGAAACAATTGCAGCATGAAGGTCCTCGATTGGCATGCCCCTCTCAACCACAGATGAAGTAGCAAGGGAGGTAGAGGCGAATGCGACCAGCGCGAAGGAAAGAATAGATTGATTACGCATATTGAATGTAATTTAGGTAGTATGTAGACAGAATGAAGACTGAGATAATAAAGTGCTTGTAGATGAATTGATAAGAGAACACGAAATTAATTGTATGAGCACCGCTGGGGAAAGAAGGGAAGAATCTGTGCAATCTTCGAGTATATATACACGGCAAGAACAAACTTGTGTTCCAATCGCAACTTTGCAGATATTCGAAAACCCTTACACCGGAAGCTCTTCATCCAGACCGATCTGAATTCATGCAAACCTCCATGGATCAAGTACCCTACAGAATGTCGTTTCAACAAACAAGCTTCTAGTGCTTTGACTCCCGTTCGTTCTCCGCCGTCACTGTCCCTCGGCAATGTCAGTGCGCGTGGTATCATTGTCGTAGAAAACAGAACGCGTTTGAAACGACCTGGAGAAGTCTAATGCAATATTTCCGATCAATAAGTGTATCAAAATCTCAAATTTCATTGGATCGCAACATTTTTGCCGACTTGTCCGACGAATTTGAAGCTTAGCCAAAACATTCGTTAGTTTGTGGCGATCAATTCTGAGAGATCAAATATAGAATATTGAGGCCATCTATTTCCTTTTATGCTACTGCCATGATCGACAGCATACGTGTCCGTTATTCTAGAACTATCAGCTAGACAAATCTGGCGGCGCATACCAGACATAGTGTTATATCTTGTGGCGCTTTCTTGGAATCCACAATCAAGCTTTCCTTTTGGCAAGCCTGTGCGGCGTAAGAAGACGACACAAGGTTAATGCATTAAAAAAATGCGATTGGGTAGCTGGGTGAAGACGAGGTATGAATCGAGAGAAATAATGTCTCGAGATCAAACAATCTATTATATTTTGTAAAAAGGATGAATGATTGTATACACGTCGTCGACCACAAGGGATAAAACGCGTGTTAGGTTACAAAGGCGGCATCGCGTGGCAGAATAAACACGTGATTATTTCCACATCAAACCTTCACACTCTCGACTTCTTTCAAACACCTTTTCGTTTGCCAATTGCAATATAGTCCTAGGTCTTAGCTTTGTTCCAATCCTCTGATATCCTAAGCTAGATACGATGGCCGAATCGACAACAGTGTCTAATATGGACCTATTTCCGACATCACAGTCTTCTTCGCCATACAGTCCGCTGTATTTATTTATTTATTTATAGTGATTAACGTCTTGTAGAGGACCTCCCGAGGGGTATGAAAGACGTGGCTAGATCTAGAGTTACAAATACAGAAAGGCGCTGATGCGCACGCTAGTAAAACCTCACAGGGTAAACCCAGTTCCTTCTATATATCCTAAACAAGCCAGTGTAATGATCGCAAATAGGGCCGTTTTTTGATTGGCCCCATATTCCTAGCGCTTCCTTCTGCTCATGGAGAGGAGCGCTCTGATTGTACAATTACTTCTGTCATAGAACCATGTTTTATGGACAGGAGCGGTGTGTATAGGTGTGCCGCTTCAAAGAAGCGGGTGTGTGTGTGATGGTGCTCCAGAGGAGCGGAGGATTCGGCTATTGGGCCGCTCGAGAGGAGCAGCCGGAACGATGGTTCCGCTGAGTAGCGGAATGGCGCATAGGCGCAGTGGTGGCGGCTGGAGGGGGGATCAGTTCCCCCTCAGCATTCGATCGATCGCTTTTGCGGCCCATAATAGAAAAGCTCTATTAGGGTTAGCGGTAGATTGTCGGAGCTCAGTGGAGCTGTGTCAGGAGGTCCACACTAAGGTGGCCTATGAGGCGGCATATAGGGTGGATCCATGTGGATCAGATCGCTATAGCCATAAGTCGTAGAACAGTAGGAGAGTGACCCGATCACTCTACCACTGAACCAGCCAGGCTCCTTGCGGAGGACAATGGTCTTTTTGTCACAGTCCGCTGTATGTACAACAAACTTTATACTAAAGGCTAGTTTGGATATACAAATCCGCACTGGATCCACTGAATATTTCGCTCTTTTTAAAAGTAGATTTTGAATTTATATTTGGATATCAAATTGTAGATTCTATCAAATAATCCGTATTTCAATAAATTTAGTGTATTTCGAGATGGAAAGGAAATAAATCACTCTAAAATGATATTAAATAATCCGCATTTTTCACCAAATTTGTATAGAAAAATAAGGGTGCAAATTGAAAACAAAAACTAGAAAAAGCAATCCTCGTTTTCAATCTAACAAATAATTCATATTTTTATAGGCTTTTATAAACCTTTCACCCTATATCCATATAATATTATAATAATATTAGTACTTCAAATATCTAAATTTATAGAGTATCTTTATTTTTCTTCAAATCGTCTCTGATTTCGATTTAGATTACTTTACATTTCTATTTCCCATATATTAAAATATATATAGCTTAGTTTAAAAGTAGATTTTTCAATATTCTTTCTATTATAGCTTTAGATTCTATTAATGATTTAGATTGTAAACTGTCTTTTTCTTATTCACAATAAGCGATGATGAGGTTGATAATTCTGAATAGTTTATTCCTATCTTGATTTATAATTTAGCTGTTGTTATTGGCTCTTTTTATTATATTCCAATTTCAAAAAAAGAATTGGTACTTCTAATAAATTTAAAATACAATCTCTTCTTGATTCTAAATACCCTTAATATTGTCAAAAACAATTGTATATGCCTTTATACACTTTTCGATTTTTGATTGAGTTTTGTTATAAAAAAACAAAGCTACAATACTCTCAATATACTTCAATTAATCAAAAGCTATATGTATTTCTCTATATTGTAGGTTAATATAGAATTATATATAATACAACTAAAGCCTTTTCTTATTCTGAAAAAATAATCTATAAATACGAAAAACACCTTATATAAATCTACTTATTGATTTATTCTAATACGTTTTAAGATAATTTTATCAAGTTTTAAATACTATAATAATATTATACCTATTAATAATAAAGCTACCAAATTTAATTATATAATTCACTTTTTTTTGAATAGTAAAAGATAAAAAATATCATATATATTTTGCAGATTGTTTAAAAGCTTTCAATAGTATCTTTATTCCAGCAATAATACCTTTCGAAGATCGATCTGCTTATTTCAATCAAAAAGGATATACTGCATAGAATATTCTTGCAATAGTTACTTTCAATTTATAATTCTACTATATATTAGCCAATTAGAAAGATTCTATAAATAATCAAAAGATACTTTTAGATACTTTGATTTCAAAAGATTTACAAATTCCAGAAGATTATTATTATCTAAGTAATACAGGATATATAAATACTGGATAGATTCTTATTTCATTCAAAGGGGTAAGATATTATCTACAAGAGTAATTGGGATTCAATAAAATATTCAAATATCAAAAAAGCTTTTCAATCTTCAATACTCTTCTTTATAAAATAAGATTGAAAGAATTTTTAGAATACTCAAAATATGCTTTCTATTTCTAATACAATAACAAAAATACCTATATACAACTCAAATATATATAGTTTATACTTTATACACTTTATATAACTTTATTCGATAAAATAGCTTTAAAGAAAATCTATTTGAAGTTCAATTTGATTGTATTATCGATTATATTCCAAGTACTATAAATGATACAATAATAAATTCAAGCAGTAACAAATTAGACTCTATTTTGTTATAATCTATAGATTACTTTCGATAAGGAATTGTAGAGACTATATAAAGAGATTATTGTAAGATGAAAAGAGTTCGAAAAGTGTAAGAGAAAGAAAAGCAATATTATATTGAAATAGAATTTGATAAGTATATATAATTAGAATAGAAAGTAATCATTAGGGTTTCTCTATTTATCATTATCTTTTACTATAACTTCTAGTGTTTCTTCAAATTCTTTAAAGAATTGAGAAAGATTTTTATTTTATTTTATATAATGGAATAGATTTCAAGTTCACTTATATCTTATTCTATCTTTAGGAATCTAAAATCCATGTCTTTTTGGATTATAGCTTTTATTAAAGATTCACTATTCTTTAGGTTTAGGAAGTTTGATATCATTCTTTCCTTTTAGCTTCAAAATATTAGAGTTTTAAGAAGCAAGATTTCTCCAAACAGTATGTTATCAACAACTAAATATTTTATAAGGGAATTTATTAGAATACAAATATATTCTATTAATATATTAATAATTTGATATAATAATAAGTGAGGGATAGTAAATGAAAAATAACTAAAGAGAAATAACTAATAAGAAAAAATCAAAATAAACTTATCCAGATAAATCTTTTATTTATAAAAAATCCAAAGATTCTTTATCAATTTTTTTGTTTAAACTCTTTAAATTAATTATAAACTACTTTATACTAGCTTTTCAAGCTTTAATTCAAATCAAAATCCTAAAAAGTCTAATTGCCTAAACTTATATATTTGTCACGGGATCACCTCTGGGAGTATTCAGAAGCTTTACCGCTGAGCTAAACGCCCAAAAGACTAGGAGGTAGAACTGGAAGTTCTACCTTACTCTCACATATATAGCAGAACAGGATAGAATAGAAAGGGCTTAGTGTCACCCCGTAACACCACCCCCTTTCTTAAGATATAGTCTCTATACCATTACCTACTAAAAGGTTTCAGGATTCAGGATTCTGGATTCTAATGCCTCAGACATTCAGACAGGCAGACAGGATCTATATATGCTAGCCCCCAGACCAATGGCCTGTAAGCTATAAGTGTGAGAGTAAGGTAGAACTTCCAGTTCTACCTCCTAGTCTTTTGGGCGTTTAGCTCAGCGGTAAAGCTTCTGAATACTCCCAGAGGTGATCCCGTGACATTAGGTAGAACTACCCTTGGTTATAAGTGGAGCTGTGTGGGGGGCCCACTTATAGCTTACAAGCCTTCATTGGTTTGAGGGCTAGCATATATAGATCCTGTCTGCCTGTCTGAATACCTGAGGCATTAGAATTCAGAATCCTGAATCCTGAAATCTCCTAATAGGTGATAATATAGAGACCATACCTTAAAGGAAAAGGATAGTATCACGGAATAATACTAAGCTCTT